CCAAGAAAAAAAATCCTCTAATATCAATACTCCTATTTACCAGTCCTTGACCAAGGGTTACATAGACCCAAACCTTCACTGGGACACCACTGACTGATGCCCTAATAAGGTCCCACCTAGTAAACTGCCATTAATAAACCTTACCATAACATATTTTTTGATAATATGGTTAGTGGATTAACGGGTTTTCAAAGCTGAACACTATTTTAAATAGATAAAAGCCCGCAAATGCCAGCGTGCACGTGGTGGTATCAGTCACATTTACTGTACTACCTTTTCGACATCCTTTGAATTATGGTGATAAAACAGTAGACAAATGCTGGAGGATTTCATTAGCCACTTAACAAATGGCCCTCATTAAAACGCCGGTTTGTTCGTCCTTGTCTATAAGGAATCCAACTCCTATAAATGCCCACGTATACATTTCCATATTATCTCTTTAGGGGATTCAGAACTATTTTCTTACACCTAAGACAGCTTTTGTTCCATTTAGAATAATTATCCTCTATCCCATTTCTGACTTTAAGAAAAACAAGACACTTAATTGACCACAGGAGGACTCTCTCAAGGGCACCAGGCTGCAAAAGCTCTGCCCAAAGCTCCCAACTTCAGCTGATGTAATCTGCTACAAGAAGCTGACTTCTATTTTTAAATTATACCCCTTTACTCTGCCTTCAAAGTGTGCATATATCACACGTTGTAACTTTGCTCATAAAGGACCTTGTGGTCCAGGGGTGAATCATGCTGGCAGGAGGCATTTCCCTCACAGCCACATAGCCCTGCCCCTTCAAATTCATCCACCCTTTCTTATTGTGCCCTTGGTCGTGGGGAGAACAGCTCCGTGTGGCCAGGCTCACCAGGTATCTCATTCCTCACCATCATTTTGACAAGGAGCAGCTGACTAGCAGGGTCCTTCCTGCAAGCCAGGCTCAAGCTTTCCCACCTCTTAGCATTTCCATCTCCTGACACAGACACTTAATAAACGCTCTTACTGTTGATGTTGAGAGCCCTGTCATCAGGCCTGTGTGCTTCAAAGGGTGCCAGAAGGAAAACAGATTGCTTTGTTTAATTTTAAGTTTTTCATTCATCATTTCAGTCATGTTCACTGTGTGCTATTTAAAAGGTTTCTTGGCATTCTGAAGATGTTGTTAAAAAAAGTCTTGGTTGGAGGTGAAAATACACTTGAGCTTGCTATTTATTTGTTTATACCTTTTCGGCTTATTTCTGAAAACAATGAAGAATTCAGTAACTAATTAAACTGGTGGCACTACAGAGTTAGGTAGAGGTCTGAACAGTCCATTTCCTTCTGGTCCACTTCGCTCTTCTTCCTTCCATAGGGTTTCATCTGGGTTCATACCAAAGCCTCCCAGTGGTTCTCCCACCAGCAGGGCAGGGGCTCTTCCAATCCCTTTTCTGTTTTATAATCTGAAAGAACTACTGCCCCTCCTCTGCCCGACACTCTTCCATACCCCCAGCCGTGCCTCTGGGGAGAGTCTCTCCGGCTCTGGGCCTGCTTCCCTTTCCTGTCTCACAGTCTGGCACAAGCATCCCACACCCACCACACCTTCTGCGCTGTGGTTCTGAGTGCCCTGCTGCTTTCCCCGAAAGGCCTTGGGCTCAGTGGAGCACAGAAGTGCTCCCACCCTCTCCTCCCAGCTCCTTCCTATTTGTCCTTTGCATTTTGTTTGAATGTCACCTCCTCCAGGAAGCTCCTCCCAGGTGTTTCTGTGACACCATGTGCTACCTCAGACACAACTGTTCCCCAACCCCACTGCATTTACTTGCTGTGTCTCCAAATAAGGGCAGGAGACAAGATGGCAATAATCGTGTCTGTTTATCTACTACTTACTATATTTCTCTGGATGCTGCCTGGCTCAAGGCCTGACTTAAATATCATTTGTTGAAAGGACAAATGAACAAATAAATAAGGATTCCAAATAGGGGGACCACATTTGTAAGGAATGAATTAGAATCTTGTCTCCTCTGGAAAGTGAACTCAAACAATAGAATTTTTCATCCGTCGAAACGTGAAGGTGACAGCTAGTCCTGAGAAGACGGAAATCTCCAGCCTCCCAAGGAGCCACTCACAGCTAGATGGCTCTCTCAGATGACTCAGAAACACATTTAGGTAACACATTCCTGAGAGATAAATGGAGACTCTGTTTAAAACAGAATCCCACTGGGACAAAACACTAAGGCTTGCTCAAAGTTAAATTTCATGTCATAAACTCTGAGTGAACAGAAAACTCCACAATTTAAATTCATTCCAAAGAGGGCAGCAATCCATGAATTACAATGCTACTTCTCACCTGCAAACCCACATGTGTCAATTTCCCAAACATCATGAGGTCAGCTGCAAATGGTGGGAATGCCCTAGAGGTTTGAGAAACGTGGGCCTGGCACTCCAAACTTAGTACCTGGACTCTTGCCAGCCAATATGTGAGTGCTAACGCGGAGCCCAGCACCAGACTGGCCCTGGGGTTATGGCTATGAAGAGAACCACACTTGTGATGGATCCAGCCTAATCAAATATATGCTTGAACTTAGATGTCTTTAAAATAATATTCTAAGTACACCATGTACAGCTATTATAAATTAAATCAAGCACACATGAGATGGAGGAGTAAGACAGCTTCAGCAACTTCTGCAATGGCAAAGGTTTTTTTTTTAAACATTTTTTTCCCTAAAATCAACAGTTTGATGACATTAAAGAGTGGGTAATGTTTCAACATTCAAACCAAATGACGAAGGACTCAGTTTTTATTTCATCCTTACACAGTTAGTAACTGTTCCCCCAAAACAAAACAAAATAAACATAACTCCACCTGAAATTCTTCTGCCTTACAGAAAAATGGTATGTATTTTTATTATCTGGCATATAGGAGGTGCTTAATAAATGTTAATTGAATGAATAAATCACAACAGAAGCACCCCTGTTGTGCCTTATTGACAAGGCCTATAAAATGGCTTTGTCAATTCTAGGTATTTTCTCTTAGAGAAACAAATTAGGCATATTTTGCAGGATTATGACTCTCACTTACCTATCCAACCTTGGGCTAGTTACCTAACAAAGATATCATTTTCCTCATCTATAAAACAAAATCTGTGTCTTGGTGGTTGTGAGGCTTACAGGATGCAATAGCTACAAATAACCAGCATTATGTCCTGCAGACAATAGTGTTTTTCCTCCCTCCCTTCCTTCCTCTCTCTTTCACACCCTCTTTTTTTTTTTTTTTTTTGCAGTTTTTGGCCAGGGCTGGGCTTGAATCCACCACCCCTGGCATATGGGGCCAGTGCCCTACTCCTTTGAGCTACAGAGGACCTCTCACACACCCTCTTCATTCTATTCACCTCAACCTTCAAATAAAAGGCTGAAGACATACCAAATTACTGGCCTGATAAGAAAGTCAGAAAATTTCAGACATAGCCTAGACACACCAACTTCTACCTATCCACCCTCAAAACATTTTCTCATTTAAAAGATGAGTGAGTTCACTAGGTGATCTTTAATAGACTTTGCAGTCCTGATTTTCCATGACTTTGAAGGCTACCTTACTGAAAAGTTAGGTTCTGCTAACACACAAAGGAGATCTGTGATCAGAAATAAAATGGACCCTGATTTCTCTTCATAGGGGAGGATTCTAAATTACAAACCAAGACAAAAACTTGACTTTTAAAGAAATTTATTGTTTTTTTCCTTTAAAAATTTTTTTTTCAGATTAATGTGAGGGTAGAATTAGGTTACCATGCCTGCATTTGTTAGGTAAGGTCCCTGTGGTAGCTGTGCCCCTCTCCCAGGAGGTGTGCCCACTAGGTGAGAGCACATCAATCCCCCTTCCTCCTCCCCCTCCCTCCAACTTGAATTGAATTGAGTTTTTCTTTTGTGTGGGGGTGTATTAGTTTACCTACTAGCTTCCTATTAGTATTGAGTACACTGGACACTTGTTTTTCCATTCAGTGATGCTTTACTAAAACTTTTAAAGGTATTTGTATCAATTTAATACCCAGCTCAAGAACCAGTGACCAGCCATGCTCTTAAGTAACAGAAGGTCCCTCTTCCACACATACAGCCTCCAACACACAAGGGAGGCTTCCCATTCGCAGCTCTGAAATAATGCACTTAGAAATCCAGAAATTTTAAGCAATATCAATAATTACAAATGGCTCACTTGAAATGAGTAAAACAGTTGACATAATATTATGTCAAGCCTAACATTTGGCTGTTTCTTTTTTTCCTTCACACTCTGAAATATATCCAGTCAGCCAAACAAAGAACTACCAAGCTTGTACAAAGAAAAAATTGCTCTATGTTTTCATAAATACTCAGTGCCAGACTGCCATCTAGTGGTAGGAGGTATCCTTGTATGACCAAATCTCCGAACCCCTTAAATTGACACAAGAAATAATTTAAAAAACCAGCAAGATTATTCCTCTGCTGCTCACCAGTTATTTCAGAGAATTTTAAGAGCAAATTTATCCCACCTGTTTTCCTCAGAGAAATTTCTGAAGAGGTCTATAGTGGATAGAGTCCATGCCACATGAGTTAATCCCTACAATTAAACCCTGCTGCTTTGGAACATATCACAAAACAAAGCAGCATTATTATTCTATTAATTTTAATATGCATTAGCAATTCAAAAAGATTTCCCCAGTAGTCTGATCTCACCTTCCAGATTCATTTGATCTAATCTTGATTTTTAGTTATGCATGAAAGGCATTTAAAAGTGACAACCTTACAAAAAGTGCACATTATATGAAGATCTGACTTCAATTAAAACCAGTTACTAAATCCCAGCAATTTCTAGCTGTCTCTTCTATCTTATCCTTAGAGAATTGTATATCACTTTAATTGGTGTTCTGTCACATAAAAAGACACTGGTGATGATTAATTGCATCCTTGGTAATTTTGAGTTACGTCTTTTTCACCAGAGGGATTCCAATCACACCTCATTACCTTCCAGCAGGTACCCCTTTTGGTAATTCTCATAAAAACCTCCTACCTTCCTGAACTTCTCCATTTGCTTGTAGAGATCTGGATCAAGCTCCTGAGACACATCTTTCATCCACAATAACGCTCCTCTGTATTCCGTCCGACACTGCTCCATGCGATTCACGGTCAGCCAAGTATCTGAAATGGCTCGATGCCGAAAAGTCTCCACTTCTTGGTGAAATCGACATAAAGGATTTCGCAAGGCCAACCTAGACAAGAGGGCAATACCACAATCTTGAAACTAAGCTAGCCAGCAATTTGAATCCTTGACATTTTGCCAATCTTAAACTCATGAGCCTCAAACAGTGCCTGGGTCACGGAAGATGTTCATCAATATTTGATGAATAATAAATGAAATGTATGTGAACTGAAAAGTCAGCCAGAAATGATTACCCATGTACTGACCTCTTAGTTTACTGTTACTTAACAGGACCATTGGGAAGTACCTCCATTAGTGTTGTTGGGGGTGCTCTCAGGCCTGGGCAGAGTGCTCATTTGAAGCTGGAACCAATCCTATGCTAATAAAGGTCAGTGAAGGCACGACCACTCCCCGTTTCTGTGCTTGGTCCCTTCCTGTCTCTTGACCTTCTGAAGGCTGGCCCTTTGAGGAGGGATGGGAGTGCATATAATTATGGTCTCCGTGGTAAGCCATTGTAGATTATTCTCCAAAGGCCCAGGCATCTACTGCTTTTCCAACAGTCACAGAGGAATGAAGCATGAAAGGGTCTAGGAAGGGGGAATAAGCCCACTTACTGAGGGTCTATTGTGTGTTAGCACTTTCACATAGGTCATATGGTTGAATTCTTATTTTAAAAAAGCTTGGGGATACTACAACAGAAATGAATGTAATAAAGTAAGTGCAAAATTATAATACTGGCCATAACATACTGCCATCTATTCAGCCAAAAATAAAAAGCTTAAGGTATATCAAATTTTTGATAAAATATTTATTTTGGGGAGAAAACATTGCTTCTCTCATGTTCCTACTCAAAATGAGCCATGTCAGATGAATTACACTCTTAAAATATATTCTTCTTCATGATGTTTAGAGGCACAGGTGCAACAAATAGAAATAAGATACATATTTCAATTTCAATTTCAATTTAGCAATCTTATTTAGCTAAAGAGAACAACAGTATCAGTGAGCTGAGGTTGGCTTTTGGCAATTACATCAATGTCTCCAATGACTAATATGTATGTAGTAGCACTGTAAGATTATAAATGGCGTCATAAACTGTTTAAGAAAAAAATTCCCTTGTACTATTTTTCCTCTTGTCTGTAAACTATTCTTTTTAGCTATTGAGCACTTCTGTAAAAGCTTGCTCACTTTGCCCTACCGAGATGCTGTAGGTTGTTTTCAAAGACATACTGTTGTGCCATTAAGTAAGCTGTATTCTTGCTGATTTAAATGTAATACTCACCTTTCATCAATAGAAGGAGAACTGTAGCAAGGACTACTGAACAAGTCAGTAAAAGAAACACTGGTGTGAAGGTTAGTAGAACTGAAGACTTCCACTTAAGAAATAGAGTCCTCAGCTGTCCCCCTAAATATCCCATTTCTGGACTCCTTTTTCTCTTCCCTTGGATTTTGCCCATTGTATAAAATACTAACGTGGCTGAAGCAGAGTCTTGTGAACAAAGTATTCTCAGTCTCTTTGACTGTTTTAAAGTCGGACAGAAACCTCTGAAGATGTAATAACATGAAAATACCAAGTTTCATATTTTCATCTGTGAAAATCCCCCTAATGAAAATAATTAATAAAGTGCCTGAAAGTCTATTCTAAGGATGCTTATCCTTTAGTAGGAAAAAGTGGCGATGGCAGGTTAAATGTGTCATGGCATGCCCAGATAATGGAATACTAGGCTTTGGGTGTTTTTAAAAAGGTATACATTGAAATAAGAAAGGTATTAGGGTTATTTGATCAAAAAATCAATTTGCTAAATGATCAATATATAATACTATACAAAAATTGTATGGTATGATGCTGTTTATGTTAGAAATATATTCTAGAATACCCTATATCACATGGTTTCAGATCTGAGAAGTTCTTGAGAGTTTCCTGTAATCCTCCTCACTTTATGTTTAGGAGTCCTGATTGGGACTTTCTGTGCCAGGGAGCAGCTGAGGGCCATGAAACCAGAGCCACCGTGCAGAAGGCCACCTTCCAAACCGCAGAGCTGGCCACACTGCATTACATCATGGATACAGTGCAGTTTGCAAATTCAGAGGGATGAACCTTTCGGATATCATTTGTATAGTTTTTGTTTGTCTCTAAAGGCTGGGTTATATAAACTTCAGGTACTACATGGGTGCTTTGTGGAATCATGTGGTGCATAAGTATGAAAGAAAATACTGGATGGCCGTATTATGAAATACTTAATAATGTGATCAGTAACGGTAACCCTTAGAGTGATTATGTACAGGAATTTTACTTTTATTTTCATAAATGGATGTTGATTTTGATATATAGTTAATTTTACTATATGCATGCATGTAAGGATTTTTCTCAAGGAAATCAGTTACAATTACATGTTGAACATATGAGAATTTACTCTATATAAGATTTTTCAAGAATCTTGGCTCGGCGCCCATAGCACAGTGGTTATGGTGTCAGCCATATGCACCGAGGGTGGGTTTGAACCCGACCCAGGCCAGGTAAACAACTGCAACAAAAAAATAGCTGGGCGTTGTGGCAGGTGCCTGTAGTCCCAGCTGCTTGGGAGACTGAGGCAAGAGAACTGCTTGAGCCCAAGAGTTTGAGGTTGCTCTGAAGCTATGACGCCACAGCACTCTACCAAGGGCTACATAGTGAGACTCTCTCTCTCAAAAAAAGAGATTTTTCAAGAATCAATTATCCTTATATTCAATTATCCATGTAAGGAGCACATATATGCATAGAAAGTATCTACCAAGGGATTAAAAGTAGGTCATCTCTATTAGTAAAATTTTAGTTGCTTTCTAATTTTTACCTTTTGGTTTGTCTATGTTTTAAAATTTTTCTAGAATGAATATATATTATTTTTACAAGCAAAAAATATAAATAACATTAAAAGGTGACATTTAATATTATAAACAGACATAATTCTTGGAAAACAGGTAGAGAACTGCTGGAAATGGTTTCATTCAAGTATGAAAGTTAGCACTGCCCACAATCAAGGTCCAAATGTCATAAAGAAGGACCAAAATGCCCAGGAAAGGGCGCAACTGAAAAACTGACATCATTGCTCTCTTTTCTACTCCGTCTTTCCTCAGTTTTCATAGGAACAATCGTGTAACATACTCCTGGCCCACAGGGAGGGAAGGTAGGAAGGGGATATTAACAGAAGTAAACATTGGACAATTCGAGTAAGCAAAATTTCTGCAGCTTGAATATTCTAAGAAACTCCATTCATGCCTTATTCAGGTATAATTATGCCTATTATGCCTATTATGCCCATCCTGAGGGCCTGTCAGTTACTGAAGGAAAAGGAAGAGAGAAGGAGTGTCACTCTCCTCTGCTCCAAAAAGCAATTGCAGTCAGGGTGCAGGAGCTCCTGGTTATTGTACGTCTACCATAAAAATATGCTATGGTTGTATCTTAAAAAAAAAAAAAAAAAGCCACCAATCTATCACAATTTTCCCTGTGCCAGAGCTTCTCAAACTTGAATGTCCATCAAAATCAACAGGGATCTTGTTAAAATGCTGATTTGGATTCGGCAGGTCCAGGGCAGGGCCTAGACTCTGCATTTCTAACGAGCTCCCAGGTGATGTTAGCGATGCTGCTGGTCCAGGGTCTGAGCCGAGTGGTCCAGGGCCTCCTGAATAGCACTTCTCTCAAGTTAATTGGCCCACAGAGATCAGAGAGGGAACCCTTCAACCTGGTCTCATTAGGCACCCGCTTTAATTGGCAGCTGCAAGGGGACCAGACCGATTGCCATGAGCAAGGCTGAAGGTCAAATATAAACCTAGAACAGCACTCACAGAGACTGGCATAGACAGTGCCCCTACCAAACAGAAGAAGCATGGAAAAAAAATTTAAATTAATAGGTAGGAAAAAAATTCATGTTCATCTTAATTAGAGAGTGAGGTTCATCTTAATTAGGTAGTTAGGTTGACTAACAAGTAAGCAGAGAGCAGCTTCTCAGCCTCAGGCACAGCCTTCTAAAGATCACCACAAGGTCCCCCTGATGAGTAGGGGATTCCCAGATTCTCTTCAGATCCCCCCAAACTGAGCCCAATGAAGGCCACACACCTTTGCTGGGAAGAAAAGCAGAGGGCCTTTCCTGTCGCTTGCATCATTTTGCCTGCTCTGGTTTTGTCTTGGAAGCCTTGGGATCGGAGAAATTTTCCCAGTTCATTTTCTTCTTGAGACAAGACTGATGAAGAAAAGACCAAAAGGAGCCATGAACAATGAGCATTTTTATTACAAAGAGAGTGAGAAAGACAAATCACAAGGTCTTCTCTCTTCCAGAGGTAAAGATGGAAAGAAATTAAATCCAAGTGGCGGGTTACAAGGTAAGCGCCCCCCACCCCATTTAACTCTCATGCTGTTCTTCCATTTACAATGCGAGATCAAATTCACTTGAATACATCTGTCAGTGAGTTTGGTGCCCTGTAATCAGAACCAGAAAATGACCTCTGTACTGAAAAGTGAGCCCATAATGTGCTGTTTTGAGCTGAAATAAAGGAGTTAGGTTTGTCAAGTATGACTGTGGAAATCCTTTGTGCCTGCCTAGGATGCAGTGGGAGCTGCCTCCTATTATTCTCTCCTGCTGACTTTTTGATCTCTGCTTTCTGAGTTACGTTCTGTTCCACTGTAAAGCAATTCAAATGCCTCACCCGTGACACAGGCTTTTGGCTGGAGGTAGTGATGGAGATCGAGGGTGGGTAAGTCATCAGGTTGAGGACATGGATTTTTAAAATAGGGAGCTGGAACCACATCTGAATTGATTATGCCTCATCTTGGCCTTATTTTTAAAGATGGCGTTATTGGTGAAAAAGTGGTTTATTTAAGCTTTCTGCAGATTGATTTAAAAGTAAAATAAAAGAATTGTATTCATCTGAATCTTTTGATGCTGCTTCTCTACTGTTAAGAGTTTATGCTAAGAAAGTAGTAAAATGGGCAACAGATAAAAATGGTTATATCATTATTTATAACAGCAAAATTCTTGCCCTACACAAGGACTAATCTAATAGAATACAGTGCACCCACATACTGGAACAGTGGGGGTCCTTAATACAAACCAACACTTTAGCCACAGGCCAAGAGTAACACTGAGCTTCCAAGGATGCATTTTCCCTTTAAACACAGCATTTACTATCAATGTACTTTGAACACTACTTTTATTTCCACCTTCTGCAATGATAGACTTACACACCATGTGTCTCTAAAACTGTTTTTTAAATGCTACTAGGATTACTGTCGGTTTTCAGGAACCAGCCAGATTTCTTTAAGAATGAACCCCATTCCCGATACAACCTCTCTGACAATAGCTGCAGAATGCTAGCCAGGGACCACAGATCCAAAGGTGAAGGCTCAACGAGATACCGCTTCCTTCTTAATCTGTGACTATAGTTCACTCTAAACAGTCCCCTGGGAGGGCCCAGTTGAGAAGAGGCTTTTAGCATCTATTTTTTTTCCCAGAGATAAATAATGACCCTGCTTCTTCTTCTGTCTCAAAAACCAAATTCACGGGTCCAAGGCCAGCTCAAAGGCTCTTTCCCCTGTGAACTCATTGATCCCTGTTTCTCTGGAGAGTGCATGCCCTGGGCCTCCGCCATATCACTTACGTGGCAGGACCAGTGTTAGTGTGAGGGGGCAAGTGTCTGTCTTTTGCAGGAGACTCTAGGCTTTCCAGGACAGAGACTTCATCCAAACTTTGTATTCTCAGGTCAAGCACAAAGTCTTCTATTCATGCCACTAATTAAATGCTTGTGAAATTGAATTAACTATAATTTTTGCCTTTTTATCCTTGTATGCTTTATTTTACTTTAAATGCTAATTTGACATTTATTCCATAGTTCCATTTAGCTTTAAAAAATTCCCTTAATTTTAAGAAGTTTTTTGTTTGTTTGTTTGTTTTAATACCTTCCATTCCTTGTTCTGCCACCAATATATGATTCTCTCAATTTGACAATGAATCTTTCCCCGTGGAGAACAATTTCCCATTTTTGTTCATAATAGCATGAGGCTACTATTACCTTTTTACTTTGATGTCTCAAGCCACACACAAATGAACAGTTAGCTCAAGGCTAGGAGAAAAGCAATTCATAGTACCTGAATGATTACACAGCTGGTGAAATATACTTTTTACTAAATAAACCTGAGTAGGTTGAAGCATTTAAAATTAATTTTTTGATCCTTTTCCACAAGGATATTTACACTAGAATATTTATTGCAGCTAAATTCACAATCAACAGGACACAGAAGCAACCCAAGTGCTCGTCAACTCATGAATGGATTAATAAACCGTGATATAGGTATATACTATGGAGTACTATTCAGCCATGAAAAGGATGGCTTTTGTATTTATCTGAATGGTCGAATTATGTTCTTCTTAGTAAAGTAACAGAGGAATGGAAAAGCAAGTACTCAATGTACTCCATACTAATATGAAACCAATATATAAACAACTACCCACCCCCATGAAAGAGAAACACAAGTATATTCCAGCAAGGGGGAGGAGGGAAGCAGAAAGAGAGGAGGGAGGGTGATCGGCAAGTTTTCACTTAATGTGTCCAACGTAAAGGTATGCAGCACATTCCCTAGGTGAAGAACTCAAGTACAACTTGAACTTTACCTTAGAAACAAAAACAATGTAACCTAAACATTTGCACCTTCATATTAACCTGAAATTTTTCAAAAAGGAGAAAAAACTTTTAAAAACTAAAAATAATTTTTGGTTATTTTACACACTTGAGGAATAAACTTGGGATGGCAAACAGGTCTCATTTTAAGTGCTGACTCTGGTTAATTGGCAATGCTACTCAGAGAATGGTGGAAAGAATTCTGAACTCCATCAGACTCAAGGATGGATTTTCTGAGAAAGATAATAATTGAATAATTAATATAATTATTAATATAATTTATATTCTATATTTATAAATATACACAATATAATTAATAAAGAATAATTTAAAAATAAAAATAATCAAAATTAATTTTTAAATGTAAATAATACATTTTATAATATTAGCATTAAGTATTAATATTAGTTTATGAAAGTTTAAAATTCAGGTATAACATAGATATCAGATAACTCAAAAAATTTCTACTTATAAGGTTTCACCTAACTGAGACTTAAGAATTCAGAAACAAAAACCTACTTATATTTAATTGCTGATTCAATTTTCAGATGTACAATTAAAAAATTCAACTGAAGAACCATGAAACCAAATAGCTTGACAGCATTAATTCACTCAGCAGAGATTTCTGGATGATCCAATATGTAGGAGGCACTGTTCTTGTCACCAGAAATATAGCGATGAACAAGGCCCAGGAGGTCCTTACTCATATAGAGTTTACATTCAAGTGGCAGGAAGTAGAAAATAAAAAATACACAATCACAAACGCAAGACACGAAACAGAAGAATACCAGACAGAGCAATAAGAGAGAGAGAGTAAGAGTGATTTGTAGTGGCCTTAGACTGGGTGGTCGGGGAAGGCACCTCTGAGCTGCAGGTGACCACCAACTGAGCTCTGATGACAATGGTCTTAAGACCATCAGAGGAGGAGGGGCATTCAGACAGTGTGCAAAAGGCCTCTGGTGGCTTGGTGGACAAGGGAAAAGGAGGCTGAAGAGGTGAGCTGGGGCCAGATCGCATCTTATTTATAAGCTATGGCTATAGGAGTTTGGATTTTACTTTAAGAGCTACTGGAGGTTTTTAAAAGCAGGAGAGTAATATGATTCAACTTATATTTATTCTAAAATAATGTTAGACTCATAGAAAAATTACAAACAGTAGACAGAGTTCCTGTATCCCCTTCCCAAGATTTACATCTTAGCCAATCATGATACAATGATCTACACTAGGACATTAGCGTTGGTATAATACCATCAGCTAACCTACAGACCTGATTTGAATTTCACAAGCTTTCCATTAACATGCCTTTTCTTTTCCCAGACCCAGTCCAGGATCTCCTGTGGCACTGACATCGTGTGTTTTTTTGGTGATAGTTCCTTGGTCTTTGTCTTTCATAACTTTGCCAGCATTTAGGAGTACTGGTCAGATATTTTGTAGACTGCCCCTCAATTTGGGTTTGTCTAATTTCACATGATTAGACTTGGGTTCTGGGTCTTTGGTTATGAAGTGCCCTCCCTTGTGCACGGTGGTATCAGGGATTACGTGACACCAACATGCATCGTCCCTGGTAATATCAGCCTCTGCCACTTGGTTCAGCTGGCCTTCTGTACTATCAAGGGACAAATTTTTCTTTTATAATTATTAAAAATCTCGGGGAGAATGTTAATACATGAGACTATGCACATATCCAGCTTCTCCTCAAACTTGCACTAACTGTGACAATGTTCACAGAATCTCATCTGCCATTATTCTCACTGTGGCTTTTGCCTACTAGGGACTTTGTGGTTTCCTCATTCATCCTATATACTATTGTTATTTATTTCATTGCCCAAATTGTGGGAGCTTTAGCCATAGGCTTGTTCCTATGCCCTTTAGCACGCTTTTTGAAGCACTTCCTTATGATTTGTACAAAATAGTAGAGGCTCATCTTGAATTTCCCTAGTCCTAGAATCAACCACTTCTCCAAGAAGCATTCTTTTATTAGGGAAGGGTATTTAGAAAACAAGGTCTGGGTACTAAGTATGCTTATTGTCAGGGGTGTTAGTGCTTCTCAGCCATCTCAGCTGACAGAGGAGGGGGGCAAAGGTTTGACTGTCCATTCACCCATGTGTACATACCCATTTACATTTATTTCTGTATCTATCTGTACCTGTATTAAAAATAATGACTTCACACTGACACCTCTGACTCCAGGGCAATATCACAGTGTTCACCAGCCTCTCCTTTTCTTTACTGGTAACTTCCTCCTATGATAGTGAGGCACAAGGCTCCCATTATCTATAATGTATTTACTTATTTGTTCAACTTCAATATTTACATAAACCAGTTTCGGAACTGCTAACCTCCACCCTCTATCAGAAACAAATTTACCAACTAGAGTACAGTTTTCATGTAGTCTCTGGTCAAAAGTACTGCCTTCCAAAATTCCAGCTCTTTTTTCTCCACTTTAGTCAGTAATATCATTTAGTTCATTTGTTACTGCTCTTATTCCACTTTAGATTATCCCACGTCTGGTTGGGTCTAAGTTATTTTTTGAGTCTATGAAATATTTCTACAGTTTTAAGTCAGAGATACATGAAGGTATCCAGAGAGGTGGAGCCTCCTCCCCGCTCGCTACCCCATTCCCATGCCCACCTTCTCTCCAACTCTTACCCCGCCTCACCCCCACCAACAGTGAATGGCTTTAGTTTCCAGTTTACCCTTTATCCAGAGGCCACGTGTACACACATTTGTATGTATGTGTGTGTGTATCCCTTTCTTTTTTACATTCATATTTTATTATATCCCCTTTTGTCCTACATGAAGGATAGCACATTATAGATAAGTTTTTGTGTTCTGCTTCTTTGACTTGCATATCCTTGAAATTTCTCCATATTAGCTCAGACACTTTACTCATTTTTCTGTCTTTGACAGCTGCATAGAAACAACCTCAAACCAACTATACTATGTTTAGTTCTCCATTTGAGGTGGGGTCCCTTTCCAGTCCAAGCAGTGCAGAACTCCTCCTTCACATCCCACTGGGACAGTGTGGCTTATGTGAACTTAGTGGGTAGACACACAAGGCTTACCCACACCCACAGCCAAGCTCTGGTGGCACAACCACAAGCCTACTCCAGAGGTAGGGCATTATTCTAACCTCTTACATATAAGATAATTTTGAGCCTTGAAGATCTTTCTTTCTTTTCTATTAGAAACCTTAATATAAGGGCTGAGTGTAATTTTTGTGCAGAGAATCACTGTTTACAGAAAAATCTGCAAGTATCCATCTTTTCATTCCTTATAAAAACACATATAGTTTAAGGGAGAGGGGACATCCTGAACTTTACATGCCTTTCTTTAAAAATTCAAATTATAATTTTCTGAATTTTTTTTCTTGGTTTTGACTACAAAGGAGAAAATGATTCATTACATGGTGAGTATTAGGGGGATAGTGGGTATAATAAAAAGGAATTTGACCAATAATTCCCCCAAACATAGGATTTAAGAAAAGGAATAATCTGATCAAGCTTAAAACTGTACTCTGATTGCAGTGTAGACAATGGGCTGGAAGAGGCAGAGGGGGGGACATGGAGGTTAGCTAGGAAGCTAATTTGGAAAACCAAGGGAGTGAGCAGTCATGATGACCTAAACTAAAGCAGTGGCAGAGAAGACAGAGAGAGGATGGAGGATCTGAAAGCCATTTGGGAGGCAAACAGATCAGCATTTGAGACAGGAGGTAGGACAGAGAAATGTGGGGGGTATATATCGTGTGTCTTGATTTCCTCATGGTCCAAGACTTTGGAGTTGGAGCCCCAAGAAGTCTTAGCTCAAACACTTTGTAAATATTAACATGGATTAATCTATAAAATATTGCTGCTGAGTAGTGTGCTTTGGGTTTTGTCTTAGTAAAACATTACTAATGTAGAAAAATTACCAACTGTTAATTTGTGATTATTGAGAAGGGGTTTGGCAGCAGTCAGCAGCAAAGACTTCCTATATTCTAGTGTCCAAAATATGGAGTTAGATCAAATGAACAGTATTTGACAGCACAACAAAGTAACCAAAATAACTAAAAGAGTGGAATCAGAATGTTCCTAGCATAAAGAAACGTTAAAGGCTGGAGGTAATGGGTACCACCCTGTATCCTGATTTGATTAATTCACTTTGTATGCCTGTATCAAAACATCACATGTACCTTATAAAGATATACAACTTTTGTGAACCTAAAATAATTAAAAATAAAAAACAATAAACATAAAACATAGAGATTATACTATTAAAATGACCCACAGATGGAAATTCTAAAACATAGTAACATATATATACAACTTGATATTTGACATTTCCAAGATAACTTTGTCGGGGATGCTTTTAAGACAGAAAGACCATATGAAAATATTATCCCATAGAAGCCCAATCATCAACATAAACAATGCTCATGAAGAAATTATCAACAGAATGTCATCAATTAATTAAATTAATTAACTGTATTTGCCTTCTATTTCCACTCTCATTTTATTTTATTATTTTTTTTGTGTGTATGTAGTTTTTGGCCGGGGCTGGGTTTGAACCTGCCACCTCCAGCATACGGGACCAGCGCCCGACCCTTTTGAGCCAGAGGCGCCGCCCCACACTTATTTTAAATGAAACAAAACTGTACAGATGAGAGCCAGGGGAACCAAATAAATAAAAATAACTCAAAATTTAAAAGCCCAAGATATAAAACCGAGAAATCATTTTTATAATTGAGAAAATAAATGGCATATATATATGTATGTATATATATATGTATGTATCCACAAGAGATCAAATATAAATTTCTCCTAATATATTTGCTAGGAAAGATAAACGGCCCACATAAGCTACTGGTAAAATTATTAGAAATCCTTCTCCCTATCACTTAAAAAGCAAAGACAAACAGTTTCCTAAGCATGTTAAATAATATATTTAATATATTAAGGCAAAATACTCTGCTGTTTCTTACTGTCTCTTTGATCAATGTTTCATACTAATGGCATACTTACAACATATCCTCTTTTGATAAAGTACAATTGCTTTAGACAAGTCCAAACAGGTTCTCTGAATTGAGTGGAACAGCTGTAATAAAAATATAAACAAAATCAAAATAAAATAGGTAATAATAAAATAAAAAAACCCAGCTACAATAAACATAACCATAGTGTTTGATTTGCCCACCCCAAACCAGATAATATGTCTAAGTGTGGTTGGTATTATGCGGTGTACTATATAGACTATGACCAAAGCTTTTAAATATGCTCCTATTATTCTGTATTTTTTGGAGTTCATCACCTCTGTAATCTACATTAAGATCGCAGAATAATTCTTTTCTCCAGACTACCAAAATAATAGCTGAAAAACAGAAATGCTAAGTGTAAGGCCCAATCAGAGGAGTTAGCAAACCAGAGACCCTAATGTTCATTCATAATCTAATTTGTTCCTTTCACCATTTGCTGTCCTTTCTTTTTAATGGAGGATCTGCCATTTAAGCATCCTATTTAAAAGATGACATTAACTTATTTTATGACCCTAATGTATTTTATGGCATGCTTAAACAACTGGAAAAAGCAAACAAAAATCAATCAGCTGAATGTTCTATCTGTTCAGAAGACATCTGATAAGATGATGTTGAGCTGGCAGCCCCCAGCACTCGCTATGTTCCCAAGAATCTTACAAAATATACAGATAGACCGTCTAAAGCCAGGCTATGGCCATACTAGAGGAAACTAAAGGAAAGGCAGATGGGGATGTCCTGAGAAGAACTTAACTGGATTCCAACTCATAGAGGTCCTAGTCTTTCCTTCAGAAATGGAGATACTTCAAGAAAACATAGAAACAGACTTCATACTTTCTCCACTCTCTGTTTACTGACTCAGAGGCCAGGGCTGGTGTTGATTAAAAAACCTGGGAGACAAACATCTTATCTCCACATAGCTACTAAGTGGCTGGAGTGATACAGAAATTATGTCCTGGTTTCATAAAGCACTTCAATATTTGAGTGAAAACAGATGATTTGTTTCATTATAAATATGACCAAATTATCTAATAGTAACAGATGCATGCATACACTTAAAACATTAAAACCATTCCTGGGAATGCTTAATATGATAAAAACTTGGTCATGGAGAACACAAATTTACTAATTCTCATTTCAATAAATTGAATCCTCTACCTGTTTAGAAAAGGGAAAAAAAAGTACCTTTCAGAACCATAAAACAAAACAGAAAATCAGCAGTCTGAATCTGTTTTTTAGCAAATGTTTGATATTAGTATTCTGAGTCACAAACCACCGACACATAGTATTTCCTGATTATAGGAGGCAGGAGGTTCACAGAGTCATGTCTAGGAGCTGTTCTGTTGTGACTGTTCACTTTTAAAAAGTTGAAGTACATATTAAATGCAATGAAATGCACAGTTCTATAAGTGTGTACCACTGTATACACTCATGTAACCTTGGTAAGATGAGAACCTTCTCCATCATCCAGTCTGTCTACTCTGCTGTGACAAAGGGATTCTGGCAGAGAGACTTCTGTCATCAGAGATTAGTGGTTTTCTCTTTTCATGTACAGAGGGGTTGTATGTGATAAAAGGATTTTATTAACAAGCAATGTGGACAAATCTTCAAAGTCAGCACAGCATTTCTTTAACTTTCCAGTGGCTACCAATAGAAACGGACCATTATTGTAGCTTGGCACACGAATTTTCTGTGCCAGGAGAATAAAAGTTCTGAGTTTATAAGCTAGAGCCTTGAACACTCAGGATAAGAGAACATCAAAATAGTGTACACATCATTTTCATGTGTTTTAGTGGTGGAGTCCTTCTTCTATAACATAGAAGATTCTTCTATAATAACATCAGTATTATTATTAACAGTACTAAATGTTAACATCATTATCAGTATTAACATTTCTGTGACAGAATCCTCTATTAACATTTCTGTGACAGAATCCTCTATCAAGTGTGAAACCATTAGTCACAGTTAAGGACTCTGGGTGCTCATGCCTAGGACAGAAGCTACAGTGATCAAAGTACAGTTGGTTCTACAAGGGCTGCTTTAAGAGTCTACAGAGAAATACAATGGTTTATATATTAGTAATTAACATATTAAATTATTCTTTGAATAATGCTTGTATTTCCTAAGGTCTTGAGAAGACAGTTATGAAATATAAAAAGCATAGATAACTCAAAGTTAAGCTGCATTTAGAATACAAAAATCAAAACTGATGTTTCCTGGCTCTACTTTTCTCCTTTGGAACATCCTTATCAAACCCAGCTTCTATTTCAAAACTTCCAATTGCAGAAAGGGCTGAGAACTGAGGTTAACTGTGGAAACGGGCACACTTACCCAGTCAGGACTTACTGAATGTGTACTGTGCCTGTGGCTGGGGGGATAGGTGTAGCGAAGGCTAACATGGAATTTGACCTTACAGGTGGAGGGAAGGCAAATGCTATGAGTAAAATAAAACAAGGTCAGGGGTTAGATAGTGAGCAGGAGTGGACAGTGACTTGAAACAGAATATTAGGGTGACCTTCGGGCTGAGACATGAGCTATGTAAAGAAGCCAGTCAAGAGAAGATCTGGGGAAAGAACATCCAGGCAGGACACAGGAGATGCTCTGATGGGTGTGGACTTGCCTGGCTGTGGACCAAGAACTGAGACAAGGCCAGCACACCTGGAAGGTGGTGAGGGCAGTGCAAACGTGTGGGAGAGAGGAAACCTAGGACAGAGAGGCAGGGTCCAGTGTATCAGGAGCTTTGCTGTGTATTAGAGACACTGCACAGAAACCATTCTGAATGCTCCCTGGGACAATAACTCATACTCAACAAACATTAGCCGTCAGTCACTCTAGTACCTAATTTAATCCTCATAGTAACTATAATAAGTAAGCATTCCTATCACCACTTCATGCATTAAGAAAATGAGGATAAGAGGAACTGGGTAGTTCTCCTAAGGTTACAGCAGCTGATAGGTGGATCAGTAGCTCAGATCCATCTGAAGGGACACCCCTCGTTTCAATGTCAGCTCATCTCTCACCAGACAGCCTTAACATTAGAATGTTCTCCCCGGATCCAGTTCTACCCTCATATACCTAGAAGGAACCTCAACCCTCTTCTGTAGAATAGACTTTCCCCTATAATTGACAAGTGACATGTCTCGCCTTAACCCTCTGTTCCAGGATAACCACGGCGTCCACCAGGCTGGCCAGCCTTCTTGGAAAGCTTTTGGAAATGTTGGGCTTATTATTTCAGTTTGCTTAAATATTCAGCTCTTTAACTGTAGTTCATATATTAAATCTGTAGATCATTTTGAATCCTTATTATACCATCTAACATATTACTCCTCTCAGTCCCTGTTATTCACAGAAGTGAAAAGTAGGCTTTAAAATTTTAATCTAAACTATTGACAGAAATGTCCAGCCAAGTAAGGAGTTAGTCAGACTTCTCCTAGTTATATTAATACTGTAGATCAACCAGATATGCATTCAGCTTATTAGATTGTTAACTGGACTAACAAAGTATATACTTAGTTCATTTATTCTAGAATTTTCCAGTGTTCAATATCAATATTCTTAGACTCTACTTTCTAGAATATTTTACCTGAGTCTGTTAAGAAAATTAAATACTTATCTGACCCTAGTCTTTAGAAATCTCTCCCAATCTGAGTCCTCAGATAGCAGCTGCAGTAGCTATTTGATTGCATTAGTTTTTCCAACAAATGTTTACTGAGAATTTACCACATGCCATGGATTTCAACGAAGTTCTTGAAATACTAAGGCATGATGACTACATGGGAATTCATAAGTTTGAAAAAAAATATGCTGGGGATTGAATTTCTCTGATCCTACATGTTCCTCATTTGCAAATATAAAGCATATCTAGGCCAGGTGAGCAGTCTAGGACCTTGACCTTAGCGAGGTAGCGGCCTTGGAGCCGAGAGGAATAAAGAGCTCACCTCCAGCTTGGCGTCCAGGTCTGCATCAGAAGCAACAACATGCTCGTCTTCTTTCTTCCCTGTGGCCTTAATAAAGGCTTGCTTCGTTTCCCAATACTTCTGTTGCATCTTATTTACAACTGACTTATCTTGAGCATATCGATCCAGTAAGTCCCAGGAATAACTGCTAAAAACATTGAAAGTTTCACAAAGATTAAGATATTTTAGTGTGAGAGAATTTATCTGAACATGACTTCCCCTTACATGTTTACAGTTACAGCATCAATCAACACGTGAGCACTTTCGTATAAGGTTACTACACCAAGAAAGGTAATCAACTACTTCTAACTGGCTCCAAAACTTTAAAATTTAGAGTGAGGAAATATAAAATCTTTTGCAGAAAATCAAGAAACTAAACCTTCAAGAGAACTTAGACAGCAACCTGCTTGAACACATTCCTTTTAGAGGTGGAGAGAGTGAGATCGAGTCGCCTGCCCCGTGACTGGCGCAAGGCGTCCCAGTGAGTCAGAGAGAAAGTCACACACACTCTCTCCACTCTCCCATCATGGCCAGCACGGACATGGTGGCAGGAGACAGAGATAAGGGGCTGAAGAACACACACTTGAAATCTATTCCAGGGAATCTAAAATAGACTCAAAGAAGCAAAGTGCAGAATGGTGGTTATCAGCGGCTGGGAGGTTAGGGGAAAGGAGAAATCAATTGCTAATCAGAGGGCATAAGCTTTCAGTTACACAAAGTGAACAGATTCTAGACATCAGCTGTACAACACTCTGCCTATTATTAATAATATTGTATTATACCCTTCAAAATTTGTTAAGAGGGTAGATTTCATTTTAAGTGTTCATACTAGAGAAAGTAGATTAAATTAAATCTAAAATGTCACAGATTTCTGACGTTAAAAACTTTAAATTCTTCAACATAAATATTTCAAATACAGACCGAAAATCAGACTTTAGGAAAACCATAGTGAAGAGCAAAACAGACATAGAGAAGAAATGAGAAACAAAGTTAACTGAGAATGAAGTGGAATCGCATAAAAGTGCCTGACTTAGCCCAAACACAAGTTTGTGGTTGGTGTTCTATCCCTCTCCTGCTTTGTTCACATCCTCATGGGACCTGGAGTTCCCTCACCAGTGGCCCACCTGGGCCCCGGGCAACTTCCCTCTGCAGACAAGGACCTTCTTCTACCATGTCCCCCTCCCGTCACCCCTCTAACTATGCCAGACTAGTGCTCTAAAACGTGCGTTCCTTCATACCCCTATGCCAAGATGTTAGTATCTCAAAACTTGATGATTTAGACTCCACTTACAATTTCATTAAATTTACACTTTTTAATTTGCACATTAATTCTTAAAAAGTCAGAGGCATTTCAGGTGACTTCCTTAACTGTGTTTTCTTTGGAGAGAGAAGTAGGATTATGGAAGACCTTCAGGGTCTACTTTCTATCTTTCTGCATTATTTAGAAGTCTTACATGAGCTCCTATCAGAAAAGATAAAAGTATGTATAATAATTATAGAAAAGATAATTTCTCTCTAAAATATACACATTGAAAAGGACATACCCCAAAGACTGTGATTATTTTAGGAGACTAAGATTCTCAAGAGTAGGGTAGAGAATGGACTTCTTTGTATTATATGTTTAATTTTTTTTTTTTTTGCTAAAAATCATAGATTAACAGAATTTTTTTGAAGAAAAGGGACTTCAGGATTCTAAGGGAATCATTTAATGAAGGAAGAATCTTCAGTTTCAAAAGTTTAAGAATCTCTTTCTTTTTTTTTTTAAATTTTGTTTTATTTTATTTATTTATTTTCTTGCCATTTTTGGCTGGGGCTAGGTTTGAACCCACTACCTCTGGCATATGGGACTGGCGCCCTACCCTTTTGAGCCACAAGCGCCACCCAAAGTTTAAGAATCTCATTGAAAGTCACAGAGGATTAAATCCAGAACTCTGAATCCCAGTCCAGAGCTCATTTCCTTCTTTCTTTCTTTTTTTTTTTTGAGACAGTCTCACTATCGTTCTTGGTAGAGTGATATTGCGTCATACCTCACAGCAACCTCAAACTCTTTGGGTTTAAGTGATTCTCTTGCCTCAGCCTCCCAAGCAGCTGGGACTACAGGTGCCCGCCATAGCACCTGGCTATTTTTTGTTGTTGTTGTTGTTGCAGTTATCATTGTTTAGCAGGCCCAGGCAGGGCTCAAACCTGCCAGCTTCGGTGTATGTGGCTGGCACCCTACTCATTGAGCTACAGGCGCCAAGCCCAGAGCTCATTTCAATGCACTCTAAGGACCTTGCATTTCAGCAGCAAGCTACGAAGCAGAGTAAGTGGGAGAAAATGTTTGGGAAAAGCATTTCTTTGGGGGCTTTCCAGGTTCTCTTAAGCAAGTTACTAACTACTTCCCTGAGCTGAGCCTGCCTCCAGGATATGAGATCCACAGAGGGTCACAGGTGGAGCCAGCCAATTGCCAGTGTGAGCAAAGAAGGAACAACTCAAAAAAAAAAAAGTTTGACAACTCTTTGAGAACTGTTACATGGAGAAACTCAGTAATTTCAAGTTACTTTGAGGGTACAAAGAAATAAGTTACAATGTTTGCATTTGTTAGCTTGAGTTCCTCTTATAATTGTGCACCGCCCCCAAGATTTTCTTCTTTTTACTCAGGGAAAGTCAATCCTGTAGTCATTTATTACTTTTAAAAACTCATTTCATTTGAAGACATGGAGAATTCTTTTGGAGTTTGACATCTGATATTACAGAGGACTTGGGCCTGACTTCTTTTCTACAGAGAGGAGAGGGATCCATAAGCATATTTATTATAATTATCCCTTTGAAAAATGAAAATATATACTTTTTTCATGATACAATTTAAAGAAGGTAAAACTTGACAAAGATTTGCTTGCTTGGTGGCTCATGGGTTAAAACAGGTTCAGAAACACTGAAGACCTCTGGAACTTATGAGAAGCTTAACATGGGGCTTAGGTGTGTTACAGGCACATAAATGTCAGTGCTAATACTGCCATAGGAGTACCACAACTGCTTTATTCAGCATCATCTTGTACGTCCAACTATGAATGGCTCCTGAATGCTCATGAAGTATAAAGTCATGACTGTAAATTAATAAGCCTGAGTAGCGCTGCAGTGGTTATAGAATCATTCTTTATTTTAAAGCGTCCCTAACAAATTCCTTTGTAACTATAATGTTAAAAGTTATAAATAAGAGAGTGATAAAAAAATGCATTAACTCATTACATTAGATAAAATGGTGGTAAGAAAAACTACTATTAGATTCCCAAGAGAAAAGTTATACACAAATGAATTTCTTAGAGATACACATTAGATAAAAATTTACAATATTTTTTGTTACTGGATTCCATCCATATTCAGTAGAGATATTGAATTTGGTTATGGTCCACATTAAAGAGAAGCTAACAGGTTATTTACTGCTAATGTATCTCCTGATTCTTCCATTCACCAGACATTTATTGAGCATACACTATGTGCTTTCCACTTTCATTGGCCTCTACCAATTCTGAAAAAGTGACAAATTGCTTACCACTTGTGTCCTGACATGTTTTCTTCTTTTTCTACTGTTGATGATTTGGGGAGAAGGGACAGGGAAAAAGCATGAGAGGATAAGTTATATTATAACCTGAAATAAAACAAATATGTTTAATAGTTACACATTGTGTTTCAGTTATACATTAATTTGACACATATAACATTTTTTCTTGATTATTCATTATTCTTTTTTTTTATTGTTGTTGGGGATTCATTGAGGGTACAAGAAACCAGGTTACACTGATCACATTTGTTAGGCACAGTCCCTCTTACAATCGTGTCTTGCCCCCAAAAGGTGTAGCACACACCAAGACCCCACTCCCCTCCCTCCTTCCCTCTCTCTGCTCTTCACATATAAAATTTTTTAATCTAAGCCATTTCTAGCTATATTTTAGGGGCCAATACTATTACATAGTATAGGCAGTCCCCAAGTTGTAAACATCTCACTTATGTGCAAGTCGCACTTATGAACAGAGGCTATTATAGTACGATCCCAAGTCACCAACATTCAGCTGACATACAACCCACAAACAGAGGCTGTTACAGGTAATAGGTAAATGTACCTGTTCCAATTTACATACAAATTCAACTTAAAAACAAACCTATACAACCTATCTTGTTCATAACATAGGGACTGCCTGTAATGCCATGTACCAGTGCAAGAACAGTTTACACTGGAAGAAATATCCCAAATGAAGTTTAAAAAGTTAACAGAAGATGGGCACAGTGGTATGCACCAATGGTCCCAGCAATTAGGGAGGCTAAGGCAAGAGGATCACTTGAGTCTAGGAGTCTGACTCCAACTTGGGCAAAATAACAATACTCCATCTCTTTAAAAAAAAAAAATGAATAGGCAGGTTATATGAAAAAGCAGGCTGCAGGAGACTATATAAAATATGATATTTATATAATATTTTAAAACATGCAAAATACTCTATATTGCTGAAGCATGCAAATATTATATAGTGAAAATATAAAGGATTTCGTGGGAGTGATGAACACTAAATTCTGGAAAACTAACCACTGCAGGGGTGGATGGGGCATGTGATTTCAGAAAGGTATACAGTGGCTTTAACTATTCACATAATGTTCTCATAGTTAAGGTAGGTGATTAGTATACTGCATTTCTATATACCTTTGTAGATTAAAAATATTTTATTATCAATATTTTTAAGAAATGAATAAGCAGGTTGCATAAACAAAAATAAAACAAAATTTTAAGATGCCAAACAAAACCAAAAAAGAATTGATAGGCTAGAATGAGACACCAAGAAGTGCACAAAGGAAGAAAATCTGTGACATTCACCAGCCTGGCGTTGTATTTCCATCTCCTTAGTAAACACAGGAGTCACTTCACACCTCTCCATTCACTCCACTGAATGCCAGGGCAGAGCCGAGCAGCCTAGCCACAACCTTAGTCCTAGCCCTCGTGTGCCCAGCAGTTACTGGGAAGAATGGAGGGCTCACCACCCAAGAGAATGGCCTCTGGGCAGACGTGGAACCTCTGGCTGCCAGCGTGAGTACTCAGCATGTAAATGCTTCAGACTGCTCCACAAAATCAATCCAGTCATTCTCCTCCTGCCTCAGAAAGGGTCCTGGCAACTAATACCCCCAAATGATAAGATTTCCTTAGCTATTAAAAGATTTTTTAAGGGAACGAAATTAAGGTGTTGAAATTTACAGGGATGAGAGAAGGGAAGAAGGGAATTTTCAGAGAGTCCTGGATGCCTCTGAAATTACAGCATCCCATGTTAACGCCTCTCTGCCTTGGGCATCCAGATACTTGGACAGGTTGCTTGAAGAATGACATTCTGGATGGGCAAGCTCTGCCCTCCACTCAGTGCAACCCAGGACAGACCACCAACTCCCAGTCCTCAGCACCCACGCTTCACTGAAGGGCACACTGACTCAGCTAGCTCAAACTTCCCAGCAGAATTTATCATACGAGGAGGTTGTTCAAAGGAAATAAAATGATTATACTCTTCCCTTCAGCTTGATTTTGCCATGAACTCTTGGGATAGATGATACATTTTGATCAATTTATTATGGTAAAAGACACGTTTATACTTAATATTTTTGAAGTGTATACAGTATGGTTAACTGTATGCACATTGTTGTACAGATCTTTAGAATTTTTTCGTCTTGCATGAGTGAAATTCTATGCCCACTGAACAGCAACAACTTACACTTTCTCTCTCCTCCTAACCCCCTGCAGCCACCACTCTACTTTCTGATACTATACATGTATTTGTGTCAGTGGAATATGATTGGCTTATTTCACTAAGGATAATGTCAAGGTTTATCTATGTTGTAGCATATGAGGATTTTTTTCTTTTTTTAAGATAACTATTTTGCTATATTGCTGTATGTGTGTGTATGTGCGTACAACAGAATATATACTCACAATGGAATAGATATGCACACACACAATGGGATATATACATACATAAACCCCTTCACACACATTTTCTTAATCCATTTGTGCGCCAGTGGATATTTACCTTACTTCCACATCTTGGCTACTGTGAACAGCACTGCAATGACTATGGTGTGTAAGTACAGTAAGTCCTCACTCAACATGACATCAGTAATAAATTCTAGGAAACTATGCCTCTAAGTGAAGGAACATATCAGGAACCCAATTTTTCTCTCATCAACGTTATAACACGATGGCATAATTCAAAGGTCTGATGTAAGTTGTTTCACTGAAAGTCCATAGTTTCCCAGACACCCTTCAGGGAGGACTTACCTATCTCTAAGACCCTGTTTTCAATGCTTTAGGACATTACCCAGAGGTGAGGTCGCTGCATCATATGGTAGTTCTATAATGAAGTTTTGAAGAAACTCCATATTGTTTTCCACAGTGGCGGCACCACTTCAATCCCATCAATAGCACACAAAGTTCCACTTTCTCCATGTCCTCAGCAGTGCTTATTTCCGTTTTTTGGGAAGAGCCATCCTAACTAGTATGATGTGGTTCTCATTAGGGTTTTGATTTTATATCTGATGATTAGTGATGTTGTGTATCTTTTCTCATGCTTTTTGTATATTTTCTTTGGAGAAATGTCTACTCAATTACCTTGCCATTTTTACATTGGTTTTTCTTACTTCTCTTGTGTGTGTGGTGGTGGTGAGGTGTGTGTGTTATTAAGTTGTAGTTGTTCTTTATATATTCTGGATACTAAACCTCTATCCAATGTGTGGTTGCAAATATTTTCTCTCATTCTATATGTTATTTTTTATTTCGTTGGTTTCTTTTGTTGCAACTTTTCTTTTTTTGGAGATATATATATTTTTTATTTCTTATAGCATAACTATGTACATTAACGCAATCATGGGGTACCAGTGTGCTGTTTTTATATACATTTTGAAATACTCTCATCAAACTGGTTAACATAACCTTCATGTCATTTTCTTAGTTATTGAGTCAAGACATTCATACTCTGCTTTTAGAAAGATTCACTTGTACCCTTGTAAGATTGACCATAGAGGTGACCCCACCAATCACCTTCCCTCCCCCCATCTACCCCCTCACTTCCCCTCTCCCACCCACTTCCCATATTCTAAGGCTATAATTAGGTGACGACATTCCTATAAAAGCTATGAATTAGTTTCAAAATAGGGCTGTGTACATTGGATATTTTTTCTTTCATTCTTGAGATATTTTGCTAAGAAGAACATTTTCTAATTCAATCCACATAAACATGAAGGAAGTAAAGTCTCCATCTTTGTTTAGGGCTGCATAGTATTCCATGATGTACATATACCACAATTTATTGATCCATTCGTGGGTCGATGGGCACTTGGGCTTCTTCCATGACCTAGCAATTATGAATTGGGCTGCAATAAACATTCTGATACAAATATCTTTGTTCTAATTCGATTTTTGGTCTTCTGGATATATACCTAATAAAGGAATTGCAGGATCAAAAGGTAGGTCTATTTTTAGTTCTCTCAGTGTTCTCCAGATGTCTTTCCAAAAGGAACGAATTAATTTTCATTCCCACCAGCAGTGTAGAAGTGTTCCCTTTTCTCCACATCTACACTAACATCTCTGGTTTTGGGATTTTGTGATGTGGGCTAATCTTACTGGGGTTAGGTGGTAGGTACCTCAAAGTAGTTTTGATTTTCATTTGTCTGATGATTAAGGATGGAGAGCATTTTTTCATATATCTGTAGGCCATGTGCCTATCTTCTTTAGAGAAATTTCTATTCAAGTTCCTTGCCCACCTGAGATGGGATCACTTTTTTTTTCTTACTAATACATTGAGCTCTCTGTGGATTCTGGTTATTAAACCTTTGTCGGAGACATAACCAGCAAATATCTTCTCCCATTATGAGGGCTGTCTACCCACTTTATTTACTGTGTTCTTGGCTGTACAGAAACTTTTTAGTTTGATCAGGTCCCAAAAGTGTATTTTTGACATTGCTTCAATTGCCTGAGGGGTCCTCCTCATAAAATTTTTGCCCAAGCTGATTTCTTCAAGTGTTTTCCCTACACTTTCTTCTAGTATTTTCATAGTTTCATATCTTAAATTTAAATCTTTAATCCAGTGAGAGTCTATCTTAGTTAATGGTGAAATGTTGTGACTTTTTGATTAATTTTGGATTGTTAAAATACCTAAAAATTTAAGTTTATAGTGTAATTGAAAACAAAAATTGCTGAGCAAACTGCCCCTCTGCCTAGACTTCCATGCTATTCCCAAATTATTATACCATGTGGCAATGTTCCTCAAGGTACTGTTTACAGGTCATTTGCACTGGAATCTTCTGAAGTGCTAACATGCAAATCCCAGACCCTAGAATGTCTGGGAATGGTTCTAGGAATCTGTATTTATAACATGCTTTGCAAGTGACTCATAAACACATTAAGGTCTAAGAAGTGCACAGGTAAATGGCACACAAGAAAATTCCTTTCTGGAAATCATTATTTCTCGAACAAACTGCTGTATTATATGGCACTAGAGCAAAGGAATTATGGTGTCCAAAATCAGGTCAACTCTACAGGGCCTATCTGAATGTCTCAGGAGAAGGGAACTGCAACCAGTGCTCAGATCTCTTTTTATTTAGGTTCCAAACCTACACACCAAA